TTCCAAATTTCTAGAATTGCAATGGATGTGACGCTGAAAATCATCTGCACCTGGAACAATTCGATTTGCATTCAGGTGCAGATGATTTTCAGCGTCACATCCATTGCAATTCTAGAAATTTGGAAAGTGAAGGATAAAATTTCATTTGGGGTAAATTCTTATGTGGGGTGGGGGAATGCCCTTGTTTTGAGATCTTGTTTTGCATTCCCTTAGCAGTATTACTTTGCCTGCCCCTGTTCTTGTGGTGCCTAAATGCTTGCTTCTCCATGCTCAACTGATGTGATAAGTTACTGTAATGCTAGAAATTTGTGAACTGAAGGAAAATTTTCATTCAGGGCAGGATTTGTAGAGCAATAAGGCTGCTTTGTCCCTCTCCCCATAGATTTGTCCCTGGGGTGGACTGTCCTTCGTGGGAGATTTGTAAACCAAGGTTAGATGGCCATGTCTCAAGGTTGCACCATGTTGATCACAACATCCAAGTGCTTTGAGTTTTCTCTTCCCTAAAGGCATCAGATCTTGGAAGCTAAACAGGGTCAGCCTTGTTGGGTACATGAATGAGAGGCCACCAACAAACACCAGGTGCTGTAGGCTATATTTCAGAGGAAAGAACTGGCAAAACCATCTCTGAGTATTCCTTGTCTAAGAAAATCCTAGGAAATTCATGGGGACACCATAAGTTGGCGGGCCACTTGAAGACGAAGGGCCGCCACTCTTGACATATGTCATGTTCACACTGTGTAATTATAGCGGCTTGATACCACTTTAACTGCTGTGGCTCCATCCTGTGGGATCTTGAGGATTGTAGTTTGGTGAGGCACTTAGGTCAGAGGATACTAAATGTCATTCTCCAGACTATACACCCCAGGATTCCATAGGATGGGACCACAGCAATTAAAGTGGTATCAAACTGCTATAATTATTCAGTGTGGGCAGCATCTTGTGTTTTGTTTGGCATTTCTCCTTCCTCCCCTAGTCCTTGTGTCCTTGTAGTTTTAGCGGATCATTAGATGCAGTAAGGAGATCTCTGTGAGAACGAATTGGCTGGATGTGGGAGCAAAAGGACGAAGGAGAGGTGGAGGAAAGGAGTGGATGAGAATGGATGGAAGGAAAGAAAGAAAGAAAGAAAGAAAGAAAGAAAGAAAGAAAGAAAGAAAACGGCGGATAATGGCCTGAGCCCCACTGCTATAAAAATCAGGACTCCAACCTCTCTGTTCTGAGAGGGAGAGAGAAAGCGAGGGTAATGATACCCCTCATGTGATCGACAGCAACATCAATCCTCTTTTGAATTCCAGCAGGGGCCCATTTTGAAAGTGCGTCCAGAGGCGTTGGATGAAATTGATTGAAATAAAGGAAAAAGAGGGAAGGACGCAGAGGGGGGGGGAACGGGAGAGCGTTCAGAGGTAAATCCATTTATGCCCAGAGGGGTTATGGTCTGAGCGCTGAGTTATAAATGTGCACTGGGGTGGTCTTCTCACCCCACTGACATGCGTGCCCACGGAGAAAGGGGAGAGGGGGTTGAAAGGTGGCCAAGGTTATTCGGATAATATTTAATAATGCTGTTGGGAATTATGGACATAAATCATGGGGCACAGCAGCGGAAAGCAGAGTGGGAGACCCACACATTGGTTTGGTTTGTGTGCAATGCAGCACGGGTGGGTGCGGGTGGCTAATAAACGTGGTTTAATGAGAATAAGGGATGAGGATTCATTAAACACTGGACAGGCCTGGGTGATTTTTTAAAAAGGAAGGAAAGCACTGGAAAGGAAATAGGCAGGGAAACAAAAGTGTGAGGTCTCTGCCCCTTTGTCTCACAACTGGGGAAGACTGGGAAGGGGATTCAAACTGTGATATGGAACCAGGAAAGAGTTGAGGCTGCCCCATTGCTCCTAAGCTTCATCCTGCTTGGACCCAGAGATCTTCAAGAGATATCCTTCTCTGACAGGGTGACCAGGTGTCCTAACCTGAAAGGAGGAGAAGGCAAAAATGGAGGAAGTTCAAGAAAAATGGAAGGCGTTCAAAAAAAAAAGCTAAAACGCACATGGATGGAGTATATGGAGTATACTGTATATACTCATGTATAAGTCTAGATAGTTTAGCTTAAAAATTGCCCCCAAAATACTGAGTAGACTTGTTCATGGGTCAATGTAAGTACTGTTCTGGCAGATCTTGACCACGGTATTTGAAGTATTTGAAAGGGTATCATATTAAGGATAGAGCAAGCTTGTTTTCTGTTGCTCCAGAGAATAGGGCACAGAGCAATGGATGCAAGCTACAGGAAAAGAGATTCCAGCTCAAGATTAGGAGGAGCTTCCTGACAGTGGAACACACTCCCTTGGAGAGTGGAGGAGTCTCCTTCTTCAGAGGTTTATTAAACAGAGGCTGGGTGGCCATCTGTTGAGGAGGCTTTGATTGAGGGTTCCTGCATGGCAGAATGGGTTGGACTGGATGACCCTTGAGGTCTCTTCCAACTCTACGATTCTATGATTCTATGAATTGCCCTGAAGGACCTAGAGATTCCTAGAGAGGTGTTCTCCAGGTTTAAAAAAGCAAATGGTGTTTTTTTTTAATTTGTGGTTATTCCACTTTCATAGGAGTCTTGTGCCCCTAACCCCAGTGAATGTAGGGAATCCACTGTATTTGGGATCAGAGAAAATGATGGAGAGAAAAATTATTTGGGGGGGGAATTGGGAGCTTTGGAGGTCCCCTGGTGGCCACAGAACAGGGTCCCGGGGCCCTCATAAGACCCGTGGACCTCACTTTCTCCATCCCAGGGTTTTGAGAGAGTTGTTTATTGTGAGAAAGAGACATTGGGAATCCAAACACTCTGCTTTCAGACCTCCCGGATGCTAAAAGAATTCTTTGCTTCATTCTTCAGAAAGGAAAGCAATTTTTTTCCCAACAACAAAAAAAAAAAATACACACTTTTGAAAAGAAGTTTGGGGAAGGAGCAGGATAGAGAATCCATACTGAGACGCGCCGAACTACCCAGCTGAGAGCCGGCTCTGCACTCAGAGGATGTGAAAGAGAGAGAGCTCTGAGCCAGCTTTCATTTTTTACTAAAGGGAGAGTTTGAGTGAAGTGGAAACAGGAGTAAGGGATGTAGTTTTGCAAACAGGAGTCGGGGAAGATGCGAAGGTCTAAGTACAGAGGTGATACACAGAGACACCAACTAGAGTTTTGTTCACACTGGACTGGGAGGGTTGCTCAGATGGGAATTCTGAGCTTAAGGCTGAGCGACCTGACAATCTCGGACTGCATTCCCCACAATCCCCCGGCCAGCATGTCAGTTGTCTGGGGGAGACATTTGGGGAGTTGTAGTGCAAAGAGAGCCAACATGGTATAGTGGTTTGAGTGTTGGACTGTGACACTAGAAACCAGGGTTCAATTCTCAGCTTGACCACGAAACCCACTGGGTCACCTTGGGCAAACCACATGCTTTTGGCCTCAGGGGAAGGCAATGGCAAACCTCCTCTGAACAAATCTTGCCAAGACAATCAAGTGTTGGCTTGAAATATGAAAAATCAGAGTTGGGTAATTAGCTTTATTGGACTAGCGATGTAAATCTTTGTAGTCTTCGACCGGGCTTGCAAGGACAAATGGTCTCTCCCTAAGCTTTCTCCTCACTGCAAGAAAAAAATCAAGATGTCTGCATAGTTTTCAAGTGGTATACAAACTGGAGAACAAATAACTACAGATCTAGAAGTAATGGTTTATAGGTATTTAATGTGTTAGGGAGACTACTCAGCTGGGTGAATGCATATGTAGGTGACCAACCCAAGAGCCCATTGGAGTTGACAAGAGTATCATTAGCTATGTTCATTCCAGAGTGCTCTTCTATGATCACTCCTGAATGGGTGGCTGGTGAATATCTTTGGGAACCCCAATGTCCACCTAGAATCATAGAATCATACAGCTGGAAGAGACCTCAAGTGCCATCCAGTCCATGCAGGAATACACAATCATAGCACTCCCAACAGATAGCCAAAAGACTTCCAAAGAAGGAGACTCCACCAACCTCCGAGGGAGTGTGTTCCACTGTCAAACATTTCTTTTTGTCAGGAAGTTCCTCCTAATGTTTAGGTGGAATCTCTTTTCCTGTAGTTTGAATCCATTGTCCTATTATATGGAGTTGCGGAAAACAAGCTGTCTCCATCCTCAACATGACACCCCTTCAAATACTTAAATAGGGCTATCATATCACCCTTTAACCTTCTCTTCTCCAGGCTAAACACACCCAGCTCCCTAAATCTCTCCTCACAGGGCTTCATGGTTTCCAGACCCTTCACCATTTTGGTCGCTCTGCTTTGGATGTGCTCCAGCTTCTCAACATCCTTTGTGAACTGTGGTGCAAAACTCCAACTCTGCATCCTGGGAGCATGGCAGGCCTTTGGTCAAACTCAACAGGGATTCCCCCCCCCAGCAAGTCTTCTCTACTCCATCTCCCTTCTCTCTTCCTTCCCCCACACTTCATGTGTCCCATTTTGGCACCACCCCAGCTCCATTTATCATCATCTGTGGTCAAGTGAAGTGTGGAAGGAGCAGCTGCTCCACTCGGCTGATTTCGGAGGGAGCGCACAGAGGATGGGGAAGATGAATGAGGAGAGCCTGGGTGACGTTGCCAACGTTTTTTTCCCCTCCAAGAGGTGGAGAACAGAAGGAGGAGAGAGGATTCAAATGCCACCAATGCAGATTCTCTCCCCCACCATCACAAACACACACATACATTTTCCTTCCCCATTAGTCCTAGTGCATACCACGAACTGCTGCTAAAACTGGAACATTACAGCTCTGGATCTCTTTTTCCCCCTTCCCAGCTCCTTGTTCTCTCTCCTTCTTTCCTTCTTCTCTTCCTTCCTTTCTCTAACACTATTTTTATGGGAAGGAGAAGGAAGATCTGGAAGGGGAGGAGAGACATACCTCTCTTGGATCACAGCACACAGACAGAGCCAACAACATACACACAGAGAGAGAAAGAGAGGCTTTGTTGCTGAGTAATATAATCACTGGTGTAGTGGTTTGAATGCTAGACTACGATTCTGGAGACCAGGGTTTGATTCCCCGCTTGGCCGTGAAATCCACTGGGTGACTTTGGGCAAGTCTCACTCTCTCGGCCTCAAAGGAAAGTCATGGCAAACTTCCTCTGAGTAAATCTTGCCAAGAAAGCTCTATGATAGGGTCACCATAAGTTGGCAATGGCTTGAAGGCATACAACAACAACAACAACAACAACAACAATATAACCACCACCTCTGCATCATCATAGGGCTTCTCTACATGGACAAATTATCCCAAATTCTTCCCAGGCTTGCTGTGTTGTGTTTACATGTATGCAAAACCCCTGATTGGGTTCAGACTGTCTTCACAACACCTGGACCCTATTCAGGGCTTCCTCCCCCAACCCATATTTAAATAACTCACCTTTTGTTGTGGGTTTCCAGCTCTCTTCATAGAGACAGTGAGAGCTGCCTTCACTCATGGGACCTCTGAGCTGCCCAGTGTCAGTGATACAGGTTGAGTTACTCTGAGGTCAGAATGAGGCACCCAGAATTGATGCCATGGCTGGGAACCTTGTTCTGACTTCAGCAGTGGTGCCAGGCGATGAACGGAAACCACGTGGGAAGGCAAATGCCCATCATTCACAACGAAAGCTGAAAATCTGCAACAAATGAGAGCAAGTAAGGGACGAATTCAGGGCCAAACTACTCTAGGAGCACCATGGATTATTCTGGCAAGTGTAGAGTCACCCATAGTCACCGACTGGCATGCAGAATTAGCAAAAGGACAGAAGTAGACACTTGCAATTGGGGAGGCCTTAGGTTCTCTAATGTCAGAAGAGGACATAGAAAAGAAGATTAAATATGTTGCAGATCCACAATTCAGAGGTAGATTATTTTCCCCATGGGGAGACACCATGAGCTTCCACACTAGGTGACACCAGCCCTAGTCATGCCACTGGGCTGCAAAGGGACCAAGGGAAGCCAAAGAGAAGAGATCTAGATTGGCAGGATGTTCAAAGGCATACTCTCTCTGCCACCTCCTCAGATTGCAGATCTTCCTTTTGAAAGAACCCAACCTGCCTTTTGGGAGACACAAGGCTCAGTAGCCAACAAGTCGACACTGCAGACAGCTCTGCATGTTCCAGCTTCAGCAGCTGGGCTTTGAAGAAGAAAGCTTCCTAATCTCTCTCTCTTTTTTTTTTCTCTCTCTCTCTGTATAAACCATCCTGCAAATTGGCAATCTCTCTGTCTTTTCTCCAGCTGCTTTCTGCTCTTTCGAGGGGGATTTCAACAGGGTCTTGTAAACTAAAAATAATCTATGCCATTGCCTGCCAATGATCTGCCTCAAGATTTCAGTGTTACTATAGTATTGGATGCAGTTCCAGGATGAGCCAACCTCCTCCTTCTCTCTGTCTTCTCTCTCTCTCTTTCTCTCTTGCAATCTCTCCTCCTTCCTCCTTCCCTCTCTTTGCCACTCTGGAATGCCAAAGCCTTGGTTCCTGAATGCAGCACTCTTGCTAACCACAGGATGCAGAGAGAGAGAGAGATGCCAGCTGCAAAGGCAGCGACGTATCCTCCATTCTGTGCCAAGATTGCCATCTCTGACCACCCAGACAATTCCTTCTGCCATTGGCTGTGTTCACAAGTGACGTGTCCACCTGATCTCCCATCACCATTGTTGCTGCTCTTTTGTTCAGTCCAGCAGGGCTAGGCAGAGGTCAGAGCTGGGGGCAAGGGCAGATCTACTTCAGTTTTTCTTAAAAATAAAAATCAGCATCCTAAGATCAAGACCAGCCATAGCCTTGCACCAACCCCCCTTTAAACTTGACATTAAAGAATTCTGAGCTGTGAAAATGATGGCCTACTTTGCTGACTTGGATACAAACACATAATTTAGCCTTTTCAGTTAGAGAGCTCTGGTGCCACAACAAAGTGCAAATCCCACTTTGGATTCCAAACCATGGCGGTTAAAGTGGTATCCAACTGCAGTGTAGATGCAGACTGCTTGATTCAGACTCTGAAAAACCCAGGTTCCAATCCCTGCACCATTACAGAAACCCACTGGATAATCAAAGACAAATCACACTCTCTTGGCTTCAGAGGAAGGCAGTGACAGCCCTCTTCTAAATAAATCTGGCCAAGAAAACCCTCAAATAGGCTGCCAAATGTCAGAGATGACATGAAGGCATGTAGCAACAAAGTGACCGCACAACAGCTAGGTCACCCAGTGAATAGTGAACCCAGGAATTTGTTAGGAAATGCCAGAATTGGACACAGTTCACTCTTGTTCCACCCCTAAAATCCCCTTCTAGTTCCCTCAAAGCTTTCTTCATTTTGGCAGTAGACTTTTGGGTGGAACGGCATAATGGGGAAACAAATCATTTTGCTGCTGCTGTTGCTGCTGTTCTTATTAAGCCATTGGGAGTCAGAAATCCTGGCTGATCTTGACTGCAACTCATCCAGACATGTAGGAGTTGATTCAGGTCTGCCTTTAGCCTGAGCTAGTCGGTAAAAAGAGGAAGACTCCCTTTCGGCAAGGGGTTTGCAACCCAAAGGGCAAACTGGTGGGACAGTTGAGATGTTGGGCGTGGGACCTCCACAAAGGAAGCACGCTGTTCTGTGTCTGCCATTGGCAGCAGAAAATGGCATGGATTCAGGAAGCGGCATATGCGCATGGAATATGCACTGTACATATGGTGCAAAGAAGTTGTGCAACAAATTGAGCAGGCGATTGCGGAAGTGAAGGACTGCAGAGCATGCTGTTGTGCAACTGGCACATTGAGGAGGTCAAGATGGAAGCACTGTCATGCAACCAGCAACGTTGTGGGTTCAAGTATAGCACTTGCGTGTTTCTGCCTGCCCTGCTTTCTCCCTTTTGCCTGTGCCCTAGTGAACATTTCCCTTTGTCCAATTTGCAGAGTGTGTCTCCTGTCCACTTTGCCTCTGTGGCCATTGCGCATTGTGGTTTGGCTGTTGTGCAGCTGTAGTATATGCTTGTGTGCGTTACCTTATATTGCTATTCTGCAAAGGAGTTGTGTAGCCCTGTGGTGGCGCATGCCTGCATGCAATTCTTTATGCTACTGTAGAGGCTTATTGAATGGAGGCCTGTGTTGGTTGCATTGTGGTGGATTATTCACCCCAAATGCATAGCGCAACTTCAGCATGTTTATATCACTAGCAGGATGCTGGCAGATGTGTGCTAACATTCAAGATGAAGTGTGCCAGGTGTGACCGGAGGAAGGGGGAGCAGGTGGCAGGAGACCCATCCATCGCTGACATGGTGCCTAGATTTTGCACTCATTCCGCAATGAAATCCCACATGATCCTTTGACTCCTTAGAGAGACTTGAAAGGGGAGATCATATACGGTACTCCCTGCCTCTTCCTCACCCCTTCCCCACCTCCTGTTGGCATCCCTCCATCACTTCCATCCCCACCAAGAACAGGAGCCTTGTCAACATGTCAGGCTTAGAGCTGCTTAACTGTGAGTTAGTGGAGTTTAAAGAAACCCTCCCTGGTGGATTGCTACTCCACAAACCCCCCGTGTATAATGTGAGGAGAAGAAAGGAAGAAGAGGAGGAGGAGGAAGGAAGAGGAGGAAGAGGGAGGAAGAGGAGGAGGATGGGGAGAAGGAAGAGAAAGAAAAATAGGAACACCCAGCTCTCACAATATGGGCTTGGTCTGTGTATGTGTGGCAGAATTTCTTTTTCAAAAATCCAGTCCTGTCCTCCATTTCCACTTCCCACACCCTTCCGGATCCAGGAAAGAAAGATGCAAAACAACATTGGTCTGGATCCTATTATTACTCTAGGGCAGCCCTGCTGAATCAGTGCCATCAACCTCTGAGTGGACTCCTCCTCCTTCCACGTTTAATTCAATGGGTCTACTTCAGTTTGGACTAGTCCACGGCTTTTTCTGCCATTGCCGTTTCAAATGAGATATGCTTCTTTAAAGCACCCATCTCCTCTTACCAGGAGACAATCTCATTTCCCCTACTTTCCTCGACAGCCCCTGTAGCCTAAAGCTGAGTCGTGTCTATCTCAGCCCAAAATACGTTGTGCGCATTCTTTTAAAACCACATTTTCTGCATTTTTTTCAAGCAGAATCCCTGTGCATGTTTTGGGTTGTTGTGGTTTTATTTTTCAGCTGCTCTCTTCGCCCTCTAAATCTTGGTACCAGAGCCAGCAAGGAGAGGTTGGGTTGGAGAGTGAAATTTCGTCTCTCCCTGCCAGGCATTCAAACACCTCTGAAGCTCAAAATCTTGCCTTCCTATTCCATCACGCTCCACAGGCAGAGAAAAATAAAAATAAAAACCCAGCTTCAAGGCCAATGGCAGGCCTTGGAATTCACTTTAAGAGTGAAAATCTGGAGAAAGGTTTCAGTCGGCCCCAACCGTACAGCCTATGAATGAGTTCTCCAGCTGAGAAGAGGAATGTTGCTCAGAAAAGACATTGCTGGGGGGGTTTCAGCTGACTCACGGCAGTCACTAACCCCCCTCTTTGCCCCTTTTCCTCTCCTTGTTTTCTCTCTCTCAGCCTTTCCTCCTCCTCCTCCTTGCTGTTGTTTCTGTCCATCTCTCTCTCTCTCCCTCGCCAGACTCCATAAGGGAGCAAAAATATCGATTTCCATTGTGCATGCGATCTGGAGATGGGAAACCTTGCAGTGGACTGGCGCCTGGAAAGACAGGCATGGGAAAAAGAAGGATAGGCTGGGCACCCTTGGAGGATTTTGGGATCTCAGGGCAGCCAAAGGAACTGGTGGGAAGGTTTCTGTCTCCAGAGAAAATATTCTAAGCTTGACCTGACTTTTGACTTTCTGCCATTAAAGCGTTGTGTAGAGGAAAAAAGCCTGCAACGAAAGGCAGGCCTATGCATCGATCAGGTTCCAACTGCAGTAGATCTGGGTTTGAATTTGTACCTTTTTCAAGGGGTTGTGGGCCCTCTTTCTGTATCCTACCTTGAGCCCCATTTTGAGCCAAAGGCAACATGGTGCATGTGTGCCTTCGAATTATTTCTAACTTTGTTGTTGTTGTTCTGTGCCTTCAATTTTTTTCAAACTTATGGAGACCCTATCATAG